AAATAAATAAATAAATAAATAAATAAATAAATAAATAAATAAATAAAATCTTTAAAAAAAGGTTTAAGGACAATCCTATCAATCATTACATTAAATGTAAATGAATAAAAACAAATAAAAAGGAAGACGTTGACAAACACAGCTGACAGAAAATAGAAGTGGTGAGAATCAAGAAAACTTTGTTTTCTTGAAAAGTTTAAAAGCGTGGTAAACTTCCAGCAAGACCAAAAAGCTAAACAGTATGCATTATCAATAACATAAATGGAAAAGAGCCTAAGTTCAGACCTCCAAAACTTAAAAGGATAACATGCTAATTTTTCAAATAGCATTATGACACCAAATATAACAACCATATAAAGTGAAAGACAAGTTAATTAAAAAACCTTATTGCACCCCACAAAAAGAAACCAAGACATGCATAAGAATCCTGAGATTCAGGAATTCATACCATACCATACTTCACAGGAAAGGTGTCAGCAGAGATTAAGGACATTTGATGCCGGGGGGCTGCAATAGTATTAAATGCACACATTCTTAATAACACAGCTTCAAGATGTATTCAAGTGAGAATAGCCACAACTAAGGAAGGATAAGCCCCTAATTATAACTGGAAGAGTATGGGAAAAACAAAAACAACCTTCTTTTAGTAATTCACAGGACAAAAGGAAAAAAAAAATTAGTAAGGGCAGAGAATAAAGATGACTCTTAACCAATTGACCTCATTGATATTTATAAAACACAACACTACCAACCGCAGAAAACAATGTCTCCTGTGAAAATAGACCACACTCTGAGTCATGAAACAAGTCTTACTAAGTTCAGAAGACCTGAAGTCATACCTAGATGGTTATTAATCAAAAAATCAGTTTTTAGATAAAATTAAAAGTTATTAGAAATCCCTAATATTTGGAAATTAAACAATTCACAAGTGGCAAATTACAAAACTTTAAACTGTGATGAGACAGTACAGCTAAATCAGTAACTTTAAAAGCATGTACATTTCAGAACTACAAAAAAGATGCTGAATTAAATATTTTGAAGAAGAAACAATTAAAAATAAGAGCAGGAATAAAACAGAAAACAGATAAGCAGTAGTAAATACCAATAGCATCAAATGCAAAGGCTGGCTTTTTAAAACGCCTTTTGACAATAACCTTAACAAAGTCGTAGAAACACTGTTGAGAAGAAAGAAGCAAGGATCTTACTAAAGAGAAATGAAGCCAAAACTTCAAGTTCTAAAGACACTAAGAGGATAAAATGGGGGCATTTTGAACATGTTTATGCCAGGAAGTTAGAGGCCATAGAAAAATTCCCAAAAACATCATTACCAAACAAATGCAAGCAATAGAAGAGTGAGCTTTTCTGGTGGTCTAGTTACTCATTCAACACTCAGTAGAGTAGGCAAATGCTTTGTTCTCCAAGAAGTTGCTTCATTTCTGGTAACAGCAGCTTTTGAATCTCATTTTAAACTAGTGAACAGGTAACTCGCTTGACTATTCCTTGAGCTTTACAGTGACTTCTGATGTAATTAACAGCATCTTTTCTTCCTTATTTCTTCATAAATAATGTAAATATACTCCAATCTGTAACATGCCAGCAGAATTCTAAGCGCTAAAGAAATGCTGATTATTCTCATCTGTTTTAGAGCCCCTCTCACATAGGAACCTGTGCTGCCAGGATCACGATATGGTCTCCTTGGGATGAGGTTGCCATGGTAGCGCTAGCACTACCTTTCTCAGTGGTCCATGCTGTCTCCTGTACTGCTTGTTCCAAGAAACCCCTGTCTTCTTCAAGAGTTTTTGGCCCAGCTGATCAACGGGAATTTGATTGGCTTCCTCCTTATGAAAGAAATGTCAGTTAATATCTGATGCAAAATCATTACACCACAAATTCAGAGGGATCAACAGGAGTACACCCGCTCATCCTACCCTGAGTACACTTATAATGGGATTATTTAAAGTAACCTTAAGTGCCAGTTCAGAAGACAGTTCAGAAGACCTTGGATTTGAAAACACGTTTGCCAAGGGCCACAGACAGAAATTCAAAAAGCACTATCCAAAGGGAGTCCTAAGGTTTACCACATTCCTGATATTATTTTTGATTTTTGAAAAATAAACAAAATAGAAGGAAAATGTGGCCAACACAGGCTTTATGTTTTCTTAAAATTAATATGTTGAACCTTTAGCCCCCAGTACTTCAGAATAGGGCTGAGCTTGGAGATAAGGACTTCAAAGACCACAGGTTAAAATGCTCTTTTGCTGGTTTTGAGTAAGGGTCTCATGTTGCCCAGGCTAGCTGAGAATGACTTTGAACTTCCTATCATCTTGCCTCCATCTCCCAAGTCAAGCACTTTACCAACTGCGCCACATTCCTGGTTCTTATCTTTTTTTTTTTTTTTTTTTTTTTTGACAAGTGGTTCTAACATCAGAACAAATGGAGTTTTCTTTGAAACAAGCTTTCATTCCGTAGCCCAGGCTGGCTCCAAACTCAAGGTGTTTCTCCTGTTTCAGCCTTTCAAGATGAGAGATTACAGGAAAGAGCCAACATTAGTGATTAAGTTAAAATGAGTCAGTGTGTGGGGGCATGCACCTTTAATCCCAGCACTGGGGAGGCAAGGGCAGGCAGATCTCTGAGTTCAAGGCCAGTCTAGTCTACAAAGCAAGTTCCAGGCTTGCCAGGTCTACACAGTGAGACCATGTCTAAAAAAAGAAAAAAACAAAACAACAACAACAAAAAAAATTAAACTGAAACCATTTTCCATTTTAGAGGTAGCGCTAAAGTAATCTCATCTGGTATTCTCATATAAATCTACCACATACACAAATGCACATACACATACATCATACACATGTCTCTGTAAGTTACATGCACACAAGTATGTACAAAGACACACTCTACCTGCAATAAGATTGTCTTTAGAATCACCACTGGATCATCAGCCTCTTCTTCATTCTGAAGAGCTTTCAAATTCATATCCGTATCACTTATCTCCTCCTAAGAAGGAAAACAGTGTTTCTTTCACAGATGCCAGTTTAAAGGAATTAACCAAGTAAGAATGTTTAAGCCACTGGAGGATGAAAGGTAAAAATATCATTATAATCTATACAAGTTGGAGAATCAGGCAGACCTAGTTTTGAGTGTCAGGTTTAATCAAGTAAATCTACACAATTTACTTATTCACTCTGGCTTTATATGCAAATTAGGATTGAGACAAAGAATGAGTCTAGCCTGGAACTGTGTGAATAAATGGCCCCCATAAGCTCATATATTTAAATGTTTAGTCACCAGGGAGTGGTTAAGAGAAGGACTAGTGGTACAGTCTTGTTAAAGATGGTGTGGCTTTGTTGGAGTAGGTATGGCCTTGTTGGAGGAAGTTATCACTAGAGTGGATGTTGAGGGTTTCAAAACACTCATACCAGGACTCATACCAGGCCCAGCACGGCTTGCGGAGCAGGACAAAGCTCTCAACTATTTCTCCAGCACTACGCCTGCCTGCATGCCTCCATGCACTCTGCCACAATGGACTAAACCTCGATACCGTAAGCAAGCCCCCAATTAAATGTTTTCCTTTATGAGAGTTGCCTTGGTTATGTCATCTCTTCATAGCAACAGAACAATGATTAAGACATAGCATAACACACAGAGGGTTCCAACATTTTTCAGCTAAGAAATGTGGTAATCTGTGTTCATTATCATTCATTCAAAATATTTTTTGGTCTTTACTGTTAGGTTTATACTCTTTGATTTGGCTTAAGGAAATCCTACCCATTTTTGTAAGCTTAGTTTAAACACTGATTTCTACTTCCTTATCATTCAAAAAGTTAACAGCCTAGGTTAGACACTGTGGCACATGCTCCTTGGTAAGCAATTTTTGTTGACTTTAAAGAACATACATATGCTACCTTGCGAAACTACTTTTGACACAAAGTCTTACCATGTAGACTTAGTGGGCCTCAAACTCACCAAGATCCGCCTGCCTCTGCCTTCAGAGTACTGGGATTAAAGCCACCAGCTCTGCAAGTTTGTGTGTGTTTGTAAATTATAACTTTCTTAGCTTTCTAATTTAAAAAAGAATTATTTTATCTTATGTATGAGTGCTTATCTGTGTACTTCATGTGTGCACGGTGCCTTTAGAGACCTAAGGAAGGCATTAGATTTCTTGGACCTGAAGTCACAGATGGTTGTGTACTGCCAGGTAGGCACTGGGAACTAAAACTAGGTCCTTTTGAAAAGCAGCAAAAAAAAAAAAAAAAAAAAAAAAAAAAAAAAAAAAAAAAAAAAAAAAGAAAAGAAAAGAAAAGAAAAGAAGTAAGCTGAGCCGTTTCTCTAGTCCATCAAAAAAGTAATTAAGCTAGCTAAAACCATAACTGTTAATTGATAATATTAAGAAAAAAATTGTTAAGAAATAACAGATTATGGCAGACCAGATCTATCATCTTTTTATAAATTATTAAAAATGATAGTAGACAAAAAAATCATCTTTTTCTTTTAAATTTATTTTTTAGTTAGTATACAAAATAAATTTAACTGTCAACTTGAAAAAAATCTAAGATTACCTGGAAGATAGGCACTGGGCATGTCTGTGGGTTGTTGTCTTAGTTAGGGTTTAATTGCTGTGAAGAGACATCATAACCACTGCAACTCTTAACAACATTTCATTGAGGCTGGCTTACGGTTTCAGAGGTGTGGTCCATTATCATTATGCTAGTAGGCATGGCAGTGTGCAGACGAACATGGTGCTGGAGAAGGAGCTGAGAGTTCTACATCTTGATCAGCAGGCAGTAGAAGGGGACTATGTGTAGTGATAGGTAAAGTGGAGCCTTTGTGTCTGGCTTTGAGTGAAATGTTTTAACAGTCTTTGGTTACGTTTGTATTAGAGGCTGAGAAATTGTTCTGAGACTGTTTGAACCTTGAAGAAATGTTGTCTCCCTGGAAAGTCTGCACTTTGTATATCACATGAGAGCTTGCAGCTGCACAAACCTTGGTCCTAAGACACTCCTGGAAAACTTGGAATTCTTACTTTTGATTATGCCTAGCCATGGTCAAAGGGACTGAGATTTGTTTGGGTTGTCTGCTCTCATGGGCAGCAAAAGCAAGATAAGTTTGGTAGTTGGAAACTTTCCCAGCCCCAATTAATTTTGTGTACTGACTTAATAAAAGTAACTGCAGTGACCTAACTGGAGTCAGTCTTTTTTTTTTTTCCCAAAAAGGCTGACTGCCTCTGCTCCTTTGGAAAATGAAGGCTTAGCATCTCACTCTACTGAGGCATCTATGACCAACATCTACCATTAACTGTGGGCCACACTGGGTGTCACTTAAGCATAGGTGACTTCAAGGCCCACCTTTACAGTGACACATTTCCTCCAAAAAAGGCCAGACCTACTCCAACAAGGCCACAACTTCTAACAGTGCTTCTCCCTATGGAGAAGGATTCAAACACATGAGTCTATGGGGCCATACCTATTCAAACCACATTCCACCCCACAGGCTTGTAGCCATAACATAATGCAACTTCAGAAGTCCTCATAGTTTATCACAGTCTCAACAATGTTTAAAAGTTGCAAAGTTCAAAGTTTCTTCTGAAATTCATACAATTTCTCAACTGTAATCCCCTATAAAATCAAAATCAAAAGGCAGATCATATACTTCCAACATGTAATGGCACAGGATATGCATTACCATTCCAACATGTAGAAAAGGGAGCAAAGTGAGGAAATACTGGACCAAAGCAAGACCAAAAACCAGCTGGCAAACTCCAAATTCTGCATCACCTCAGATCTCCAACTCTATTCACCTTTGCTGACTGCAACATATTTCTTTTTCACGAGCTGTTTCTACTCCCTGTAAGCAGCTTTCCTTGCCAGGTATCCCACAGTTCTGGCATTTCTAACCTCTTGGGGTCTCCAAGGCAATCCAGGCTTCAACTTACAGCTTCTGAAGCTAGAACTATGTGGCTGAAGCTGCCAAGTTCTGCTGCTTGCTGGGGCTGGAGCATGGTCCCCTTGTTCAATTATATCTTTGCCAATTTTCTGTTTTCAATGGTTTCCTTTAGTGCCTAAGTTTGGCTGTTCTGGAACTTGGTCTGTAGACAGGCTGGCCTTCAACTCAGATCTGTATACCACTGTCTCCTGAGTGCTGGGATTAAAGGTACCATCACACCTGGGACCTAAGCTTTTTTTTTTTTTAATTAATTGTCTCTTTGGGCCTCTGTGCAGGGACATCCATGACACATTTCTGGCCTCAGCAGCATTCCTTAGTCGAAGAGAGAATATCCATAAGCATGGCCACTATGCCTCAAAATCTGGTTTAAAGGCATGTGCCATCCCACCTCAAGACCCAGATCAAAAGTCTGTGTTTTCTAGCCTCAAGATCTGGATCAAAGGCATGTTGTCTTCCTGCCTCAAGATCTGTGAAACCAATGAGTCATGTGGGCCTCCTCCCCTCCTGGGAGCCTGTATGGAGCAAGAGTGAGGCAGGACTGTTTCCTCCCTGCGTACCCTGTGTAGCCTTATGACCCCCACCTCTGCTGTCTCTGAGGTGGTTACTTAGCTTGGTGGCCAGGTTTCAGATTAAACTTCTGTCCTTACAGAGACATGTCCAGCAAGCATCTGGAATTCCTCTTCATGCAAATGAAGCACTCCCAGCACCTTGGCCCCAGCCAATGATGGATGATCACCCCAAAGCCCCTACTCATTCCCCAAGGTTTATATAGCTCTTGTTCCCCACCCAAAAAGGAGAGCTGATTCACTGAAAACTCTCAAGCCCGGTTTGCAACATGCCTCAATACCCCAGGGAAAAAGCAGTCCCAGGGGGGCAACAATTTACCCCTTGTCAACTTGACACATGATATATCTCCTTATGTCCAAATGAAAACAATAACCAAGTCATGATGTAGCTATCCCTCATAAAACCATAAATGAATAAACAATAAGGTCATAATAATGCCTAACATGATATAACTATCCCTTGTACAACCGCAAACATATTAAATTGTAAATTTAAAATAGGTGACAATGTCCCTAGAGAAACATCCCTTAATTCCATTTAACAACTTGAATGTGTTTATCTCCTTGAACACAGGACTTGGCTCCATTCCACTTCCTGGTGCCCCTTTAACCCTTGAACCATACAGTTTTTATTTTTCCTTCCTCAGCTGTTTGATCAAAACACTCTTCATATGAGTGAACCACAGGACAATCTATGCTCGGCTGTTTTGAGATTTTTTTTTTTTAATCTCTTCACTTTAGCCTCAAGTAGACTCTTCAGACAAGGGCAAAAGGGAGCCACATTTTTCAGCAAAATATCACAAGAGCAATCTCTAGACAACATACTAAAATTCTTCTTCTCTAAAACCTCTTGAGCCAGACTCCCACAGTCCAAATCACCTTAAGGACCACCATCTTCCATGTTCCTACTAAGATGGCCCACTAAGCTCTGCCTAAAGCATTCTATTGCTTTCCTAATCCAAAGTGTCCAAATCCACATTCCTTCAAACAAAAGCATGGTCAGGCCTATCACAGCAATACTCCAGTCCCTGGTACCAACTTCTGTCTTAGTCAGGGTTTTATTGCTGCGAAGAGACACCATGACCACAGCAACTCTTATAAAGGACAACATCCATCCATCTGTCTGCCTGCCTGCCTACCTATCTATCTATAGATACCTATTTATTTATTTGGTTTTTTGAGACAGGATTTTTTTATATAGTCCTGGCTGTCCTGGAACTCCCTGTATAGACCAGGCTGGCCTCAAGTTCAGAGATCCACCTGCCCCCCAAATTAAAGGTGTACGCCACCGCACTCTGGTAATGACAACATTTAATTGGGGCTGGCTTACAGTTTCAGAGGTTTAGTCCATTTTATCATCATGGTGGGAACATGGCAATATGCAGGCAGACATGGTGCTGGAGAAGGAGCTGAGAATTCTGTATCTTGATCTGCAGGCAACAGAAGGGGACTATGTGCCACTCTGCGTATAGCATGAGCATTGGAGATCTACAGTGACACACTTCCTCCTAGAAGGCCACACCACCTAATAGTGCCACTCTGAACGGACAAGCATTCAAACAGATGGTCTATGGAGGTGATATGTATTTAAAACACCATAGGAATTATCTTGATTAATTAATTAATTAATTGAGGTGGGATGACCCACTCACTGTGGGTGGCACCGTTTCCTGGGCTGGGATCCTAGACTATAAAAGGAGAGAATGTGTACTCAGTATAAGCATTCATCTTCCTCTGCTTCCTGACTATGGATGCAGTATGACCAGCTGCATCCTTGAGCTCTTGAGACCATGACTTCTTGCCATGCTTTACTGGACTCTGGAACTGTCAGACAAAATAAACTGTTCCTTAGGTTGTTTTGGTCAGACATTTTATCACAGTACAACTAAGCCCAGCCTTTCTGACACAGAGTTTTCATTTCAATGTTCATACAGAAAAGCTTCAGGGAAAAAAGCCTATGGCTGACTCAAAGCAGGGAGAAAAGGGACTGAGTTTTTAAACAACCAATTCCCCAATTCTTTGGCACCAACTGAATGCCTACATTTCCACTCAATCCTGCACTAGCTATATGGTCATAGCCAGATCCCACCGGTTGAGGTGTCGGTCTCAAAAGATTGGTTTCTCCTTTCTTCAAACACCAACTACAATTTTCTGAAACCATGTGCAGAACTCACTACAGTTTATCACAAAAGACATCAGCGTAGAGAGCAGATGAAGAAGATTGCTGCGTAAGGTTTAGAAATCTGAGTGGAAGAGCTTCTGTACTGATGGAGTAGGTGCCACACCTCTGTTCCCACATTCCAGGCACCTGAAATCTCCAAACTTGTTACTCAAGAATTTGTTACTGAAGTTTTACTATGGAACACTGTGACGGCTATTCTTGGCTGTCAACCTGATTACATCTAGCATTAACTAAAGCCCAATGGCTGGGTACACCTGTGAGGAATTTTTTTCTTAATTAAATCATTTGAAGTGGGAAGACCCACTTTTAATCCAGATCTTATTAGGTGAGAAGATCCACCTCTAATCTGGGCCACATCTTGGCTGGCAGTTTATTTAAAAGGACATGGAAGAAGGAACTGTTCACTCTTTACCTGCTAACTCTTACTCTCAGTGGCAAGTCCACTCCTTCACTGCCACTAGAGCTTACTTCTTCAGGATTCTGGTGTATACTGAAGACCAGCTGAGACATCCAGCCTCACGCCTGAACAACTACTGGATTCTTGGACCTTCCATTGCTAGACAGCCATTGTTGGTCTAGCTGGACCACAGCCTGAAAACCATTCTAGTAAATCCTCTTTATATAGCTATATGAGAATACAATTATATTTTCATTTTATAAGTTCTGTCTCTGACTAATATAAGCATGACTAATGAAATCACTGGTAGAAGTGAGTGAACTCAATCTCCTGTCCTTTTTCCTTCCCCATGGTCAGAAGGTGGGGTTGCCAGTTTTAACTCTCTAAGTACATAGTTGTTTTCTCTGGCAACAATGTCCCATGTTGAAATATCTAAGAATGACCTCATTAGCATCACCTATGTAAGGGGTAAAGGGGCTCACTATAAATAGCAAAACACACTTCCATAATAAACCCTAAAGAATACCCCATGGGCAAGAAAATACGCAAGCACATGCAAATCCATAGAAAATATACAAAGCTCACTTAAAAATCCACAGAAAATATACCAAGTACACACAAAAATCCTTATTCTGCTTATTCTCTTTTGTTTGTATTGAGACAAGGTCTTAGTCTGTAGCAGGCAGGCCTCAAACTCATGATTCTCTTGCCTCAGCTTTTTAAGTGCTAGACTTACAGGTGTATGCCACCATGCCTACTTTCTTCTGACAACTATTTGATTTTTGAGAGGAAACAGGACTTCAATAGATAAGCAACTGGATGTGACAGCCCATACCTATGCCTAGAGACCCAGCATTTGAGAGACAGGCAGAATGAGTGTAAGCTACAAGCCATCATGGACTTTAAAGTAAGACAGTGTCAAACAGACAGATAGGAAGGCAGACAAAAAGAAAATACAAAATAAAACCACTAGATAAGCAATGAAGAGAACACAAAGCCTTTTCCTTGAAGTTACATTAACAGCAGAGGATTCTAACAGTCCTACAGAAGAGCAAGTCACTGCTCAAGAGATGAATACAAAATTTCAGGCATGTTCTAGAACTCACAGCCCCAGAGGAAGACAGAAGAATCATTAAAACCTGAAAATGAAATCTCACATTAATATTTTATGAGTTAACAGGCTTCCGGCTGGGAAATGCTGCAACTCTGAAAGCAACTGAGCAAAACTACAGGAGGTGGCAAGAAAAGCTGAAACTGGCTCCCTAGGTTGAAGCTGGACTGGCTCAGAGGCAGGTGTACCTTTTTTTGTTTTGTTTTGTTTTTCGAGACAAGCATTCTCTGTGTAGCCTTGGCTGTCCTCAATCTGTAAACCAAGCTGGCCTCAAACTCACAGTAATCCACCTGCCTCTGTCTTTCCGAGTGCTAGGATTAAAGGCATGCACCACTGCGCCTGGCTGTAGGTATATCTTTCATGATCTAAGCGAAGCCTCGTGCTACTGAAAAAGACCGTAGAAGACAATTTTAAAGGTCTGCGATTTTGATGGATAGCCAGGAAAAGAATATCCTTGTGCCTAGTAGGCAAACACAAAGCATTGTATGAGCATAGGGGCTAGATGCTCTCAACTTTATTTCAAATTTTTCATACAGTGATGTCACTAGGTTAGCAACTGGAGATTCTTGATAGAGGGCACCGAGGAGCACATGTAAAATGAACCTTCAGGACTATCTTTCCAGAGGGGCAGTATACACTAATGGCAGAATGACCAGCAGAATATACTGTAACAGGAGTATAAATGCAAAAAAATTACAAAGTTATTGTTAACCAAATTTGCAAGCTTACCTGACATTGCCAGTTTCCTAGATGATCAACATCTTTAATGTACACATGGTAGTGACCTCCATAGCAGCCACCTTTGTGGATAATGACAGAGAAGAGGTCATACATATACTCCATGTCATCCAGTTCACTCTAAAAGAAAAATAAACACTGATACAGTTTACACATAACCCAAGAAGAACTCAGCCCCTGAAACTACTAAGATACTTCCTTGTAATATTCACACTTCAGTTAGGCCCCTTTGCTGCTTAGTCTCTTGATACTCAAAATGCTATTACTGTATTTAAGGATAAAGATAAATGTAAATAATTGGGCTTAAGTTAAAAACATTTTTTTCATTTCTTTGAGGCTGGCCTCCAATTCCTGGAGGTCCTCCTGTCTCAGCTTCTTGAGTGTTAAGATTATAGGCATGAGCCACTATGCACAGCTGAATTTTAAGTCTTAATTTATTGATTTTTTGGTAATCAAACCATACTGAGCACATGTATCTGAAGATGTTATTTTTACCAGCTTCAACTAAGAGAATGAGTCTGTGCTAGACTGTTAGTAGAGAAAGCCACATTTGCATTATGCCCATTATGCTGTTTAGGACATATGCTCTTTTCCTACCAAAACTGTCTAATATCCCAAGAAGGTTGCTTTGTTGCCTCAAGGTCAAGGTCCTCCTGGCATTTTAGTTGTCTTCACAGAATATGAATTAAGAAATTGTGAATATCACCTGGTCTTATTCAGAGGTAGTTAGGTTAGCAGAATGAACAAGTTCTTTCTTGCTTTACTAATTCTATAATCAACCTCTTCTATAATTGCAATTAATCACAAGTGACCCAACAGGTAAATTCCTATGATAACAATGGGAAAAAAATTTACATTAGATTTAAGAGATGCTTTAAATTCTAGATGAGGAAAAAAAAAAAGGAAAAGCCAGTTGTGGTGGCACACCTCTGTAATTACAGGACTTAAGAGGAAAGCTTTAGCTACGCAGCAGGTTTGATGTGAACCTGGGCTACACAAGACCCTGTCTTAAACAACAACAAAAAAGAAGGAAAGGGAGAGAAAAGAGAGAGAGGAAGGAAAGGAGGAATAAAGATAGACAGGCAGACAGTGAAGGCTTAGTCTTTACATTCTAGGAATATGAACCACATGACATAAGACATAAGGTCTCTGCTGGCTTTGAACTCAGTGTCATCTGAAATGTAAAATAAACACATGGGTGATACCTGGGAGATACAAGATACTTCAAGAATTTTTTTCCTGAACTATAGTTTTTAAGTGGGTGGCATTTAAAGATGTCTTATTCAGTCTAAAGACAAGACACACAAAGATAAAAGATGACCTTTTTCTCAATACAGAAATTCAAAAGTAAAATTAATATGGATTTCCTAGATAAGTGCCCAGTTTTTTGATATATCAAAGTATGTTAGAATCATGCGACAAACTATCTTTTATAAAATGAGAAGCAAGTATATTAGTGACTCTTGAAAAATATTTTTTTTTCCTGAGTATGTCAGCAACAGGCCAGAGCCAATAGTTACTACTAGACCCTAAGGATAGAAATTCACTAACAAAACAAACTGTACAGAACTCAGCAGTGGGGCCTAAATTAGAGGGAGGCTCAGTCATGAAGTTTAAAAAATTTATATACACACACACACACACACACACACACACACATACATACACACACACACACATATTAAACACAGAAATTCACTAGCTGACTGTTCTTAAACAAAACAATGACATGTAATAAGAAATAGGTGGAATAATAGAACAGAATAGAGAACCTGGAAATAGAGACAAAGTTATGACCACCTAATTTTTGACAAACGCACATTGGATAAAAGGTGGCCTATTCAGCAATGGTGCTGGCAGAACTGGGTTTCTACTTGGAGAAGATAAAGTTAGATTTGTATCTTTCACCTTGTACAAAAATTAATTCAAAATGGATCATAAACCTTAATTTAAAACCTGCAACACTGAACTTTCTAGAGGAAAACATAAGAAATACCCTTCAAGATACCAGGGAAGACAAGAACTTTTTGACTAGAACACTAACACACAGAAACTAACTCCAATGTCAAAAGACAGAGCTAAATGAAAATAAAAAGTTTCTGTATAACAAAGGAACAATCAGCAGAACTGTTGGCAAACACAGCCCACAGGATGGGAGAAAACTTTTCATAGCTATACTTCAGACAGGGGACTAATATCCAGAATTTACATAGAAATGAGAAATTAAATGTCAAGAAAATAAAACTGCCAGTCAACACAAAGGCAAACAAATTTAATAGTCAGTTAAAACAGACACACACAAATGACCAATACTATTTTTAAAAAATTCTCACTATCCCTAGCATCAAGAAAATGCAAATTAAAACTACTTTGAGGTACCACTTGACCGCAATCAGAATGGCTATCATAAACAAATGTAACAATAAATGTTGGAAAGGATGTGAAGCAAAATGTAACATTATTCACTATTGCTGGAGGTATAAATTAATATAGTCTTTATGGAAATAAGTTTGGAGATTTAGCAAAAAAAAAAAAAAATTGAAAATGTAACTACATACAACCTAGTATTTCACTCCTGGGTATATAACATACTCAGAAAACTCTAAATCTTATTGTCTTAGGGTTCCTACTGCTGTGATAAAACACCATTAACAAAAAACAACTTGGGGAGGAAAGGGTGTATTTGGCTTCCATATCTTGAGTCACAATCCATTAAGGGAACTCAAATAGGGAAGGACTCTAAGGCAGGAGCTGATGCAGAGGCCATGGAGGAATACTACTTACTGGCTTGCTCAGACTGCTTTCTTATAGAACCCAGGGCCATCAGCCCACAGGTGGTACCACCCACAATTGATGTGGTCCTTCCAAGTCAATCACTAATTAGGAAAATACCCTACAGGCTTGCCTATAGTCAAATCTTATGGAGGCATTTTCTCAATTGAGGTTGTTTCCTCTCAAATGACATTAGGTCTGTCAAGGCTGTTAAAAACTAGCCAGGACAATTGACCCCTTGCCAACTTGATATACTAGTGCAACATTATTTAGCCATAATCTTTCCTTTCTTGTTCATCCCCCAAGTCACACATTAATAAACTTCACACTAGAAAACATTCCAACTTTCAAAAGTCCTACAGTCTTTAAAAAAAAAAAAAAAAACACAAACACTTTACAGTCCAAAGTCTCTTTAAAATATTCAAACTCTAAAAACCCAAGGTAGCTTTAAAAGTTCAAAGTCTCTCAACTGTAAGCTCCGGTAAAAAAAAAAAAAAGTTAAATATTTTCGTACTTCAAGAGGGAGGAACCAGGGCACAGTCACAATCTGAACCAAGCAAAACCAACTCAAACAGTATAAATAACTCAGTGCCCAATGTTTGGGATTCACTCATGATCTGGGTTCCCCAAAGGGCCTGGGTCATTTCTCCAGCTCTACCCTCTTTGGCCCACACAGACTGTTCTAGGATAAGGCCAGCCCCACTCCATGGCTGCTCCTGTCCTTGGTGATATTCCCATGGTTCTGGCATCTTCACAATGCTGGGATCTCCTGCTGCAACAGAGCTGTACTTTTTCCAATAGCCTCTCCTGGGCTCTCCACATGGGTACCACGCCTCATCTTCCCTCCATGACCCTTTCAATCCTGGGGCTTCAACTGCTACTGCAGTTCCAGAGACTGCATTTTCACCAATGACTTTTCTTGACCTCTCAAAGTGCCAAGCCTCAGCTGCTCTCCACAAGACCTTCATGCTTCCAAAACAAGTATCATCTATGAGAGTCTTATATATTGCTAAGTTCAGTGCCAGCTCAAGGCACAACATCTGTGTTTTGACACTATGGAAACACTTTCCCAAAGATTTCACCTCAGTGATGCTGGTTTCTTCTTAATCACTGCTAATTACTCAGCTCCAGCTGACCAGCATCAATTCTCCCAGTAAAACAAAGGTTTCACTTTAGTAGTGCTTGTTATTCAGGGTGACTCTTCAGCTCCAGCTGACTAGAACCACAGAATCTTAATTCAAAATAGCAAACAGCCATGAAAGTCTTTAAACTTCCCTCTGAATTTCACAGGCCAGGCCTCCATCTGCGCTGTTCTCAATCTACCTTCCAAGCTCCAACAAAGATCTCGACACTCAACAGCTTTTCTTGCCTAAAGTTCCAAAGCCCTTACACAATCCTCAAAACAACTTGGTCAGGTCTGTCACAGCAATACCCTATAATCTTGGCTCCAATTTCCACTTATCTTAGTTTTACTATTACTGTGATGAAACACCATAACCAAAAGCAACTTGAGGAAGAAAGGCTTATTTGGCTTACAAATCCAGAGTCATGGTTCACTTGAGGAAAGCTAAGACAGGAACTTGAACCTCGTGGGAACCTGGAGGGAGAGGCTGAGGCAGAGGAGTGCTACTTACCGGTTTCTTCCTCACGGCTTGCTCAGCCTGCTTTCTTACAGAACCCAGGACAATGAGCCTTTGAGAAGCACCACCCATAATGGGTTGGGCCCTCCCTCATCAATCACAAATTAGGAAAATACTCTACAGGCTTGCCTGTAATCTAATCTTATGGAGATATTAGTTGTGTCAAGGTGGCCTAAAAACTAGCCAGGACACTTACTATGAAGATATTTTCATCCCCATGTTTATCACTGCTTTATTCATTATAACAAAAAATTGGATAAGTAGATAATGTGGAAACCTGGCATATTATTCAGCAGCTCTGACGAGAATGTAATCACAAAATTTGCAGAAAAAAAATGGATAGACTTAAAATTATAATATTAATCAAGATCATATAATCTTAGCAAGAAAAAGCACATGATACCCTTCATATGTGGATATGTGCCTGGTCAAGAATATGCACATGTGGGAACAGTATAACATATGGAAACGAAAAAAAAGAAATGATAAGTATAAGAGGGTGAGGAAGAACTTCACACTGGATTTTACACTTTCACTATGAAATATACTTTTATGAACCTATCCACCACCAAAAGGACTGTCAAACATGGGACCACAGGCTTGTAATCTTAGTACCCATGACGTAGAGATAGAACTGGAGTTCAAGGCCAACCTGGGCTGAAAGAGATGTTGTTCAAAGAAACAACAAAAGAAGAAATTCAAAAGGAGTATAAGAAACCAATTTGAACCACTCCCTCCTCTTAGGAGACAGGGACTTTTGGCCATGTCTGAAGATGTTCTGGCCTGTCAGTTCAATAGGGATGCACACATACTATGCAAAAAATTTAACTCAAAATATTAATAGGGCCAAGGTTGAGAAATCATACAATAAACTGAGTATTTTAATCTTGGAAGGGAAAGAGAAAGAATCTAAAAATAAAAGGTTCAAACCTGTTCACAAAAAGGCTTGAGATTGATCCGAAGGGGGAATGTATAACAGCTAGTTTCCTTGTAGCGTTCACATTTAACAAAATCGAAATTAAATCTTAGTAATGAAATAGTAAGAAAAGGAGGCAGCTTACGCAATTTGGCAGACTGTAAAAAGAAAAATTGACAAAGTTACACAAGGATACATAATGCTACACAAGGTAGTAAAAAAATGGCATATGATACAGTTACAAATGCATTCTTAAATCACACACACACATTCTGAATTCTATATAAACTCATTTATTTTATGGAACTAAGAATGATATGGTGTCGTTATGCTTATAACAAAACATTTATGTTGTTTTAATGTTTTTTTTTTTTTAATGTATACACCATACCCTTGTTCATTCAAATATTGATTTCTCCCCCACCCCACCCCCAACTCTCTGGTTTCAATCCGGATATTGCATTGTGATACTCATTCTAAGCATCCTGTCTCAACTCTTGTGTAAACAGAACAATATAAAGCAACTACACACAATGTTGAGCAGGGAAGAGCCAGAGGACAAGAAAGAGGGGAGGAGCCAGAAGGCTGAGTGGGAGAAGGGGCAACAGGAGAGCTAGGAGAGCTAGGAGAGCAGAGCTGGAGGAGAGATCTTGGAAGACGTGGAACATGAACCAGACCTAAGATTTCACAAAAAGCAAGTATAATGTGGGAAATCTAAATGTTAGGAAACTGAGGGCTTGGAGGTTTAGGAGGGGGTAAATATTGCCCAGCATTGTGTTCTAGGTTAACTAAAAACCCAGTCTCTGTATGGATTTGGTTATACAGCTGTTTAAGATTAACAGCAAGCATTACTAGAAGATAAACCAATAGTAAAAATTAATAACCACATACAACACATTTATAAGCCAGTTTTATGTTTTTAGGGTTGTTATCCAAAATTAACATTTGATGGGTGTGTCCTAACTGGGTGCTCTCTTTCTGTCAATGTTCATTTCCTGCCTAGCCCTTGGCCTTTCACCTTGCTCCTTGGATCTCCATTTCACTTACCACACACATAAATCTTATTCAGTGAAGAAGTAGAACTCTGAATGATTCAAAATTGTATGTGTATATGCATTTTTTTTTCTGAAGAAAAGATTCATAGTTGTCATTAGACTATGAAAAAGGACTCTTGACTCCCTAGAGTTCAAGATCTACTGATGGGGTTTTATTTGTTGTTTATCTGTTTCTTTGTTTAATATTTATTTTTATTTTGTATATAGGTGTTTTGCCATCATAAGTGTCTGTGTACTACCCAGATGCATAGTACACAAGGAGTCAGAAGACACAGTTAGATCCCCTGGGACTGGAGTTACATACAGTGATGAGGCACCAGGTGGTTGCTAGGAATTTATTCCAGTTGTTGGAAGAGCAGCCAGTGCTCTTTACCACCAAGCCACCTCTCAGCCCCTATTTGTTGTTTAAATTCAAAAGCACATATCTTGCTGTTGTTTTAATTCCCCACTCAAAACAAAACACTAATCAAGTTGCTTTTTAAGAGTTGTTAGCTGTCCCCAGCTCTTGCACTGGTGGCCTTAAGGAAGAAAAATGCACCTCTGTAGAAGACAATAATTATATATGTTTAACAACTGAAGTTTCATATATTCTATAAAAAAAAGTTTAAAAAAGGCTAGGAATGATAATGTACACTTATAATACCAGGATTTATAAGGAGAAGGAGTAAGTGTTTGAAGATAACCTGGGCTATATAGCAAGTTCATGATCAGCCTGGACTACATAGAAAGACTGTCTCAAAACAGAAGAAAAAAAAAAAGTATGCATTATAATATTGAAGATTTCCAAACTCATTTCAAAGATTCCTAAAATAATCAGAGGAACTCAATTCTAATGAGGCTAAGAAAAAAGTGACACAATGGTCAGAGGTAGAGAAGGAGCTAAGAGGATGGCCAGGGAGGTATGGCAAATGGCACATCCAAACCAGAGGAATGGGAAACGCATTAACAGTATATACACACGTACATACACCATCTCTAATCATAATTTTATATTAATATTAAAGAATTACTAATACTTAAGAAATCTGCTAACATGACTTTTTTTTGGCAATTAACCATATAAAATATATTAAAAGCCAATTTCACACAGAAATCACATACAGCTGTGAAAGGATGTTGAAAAGGAAATATAGTTGGTTACTACAGGAGAAAAAAAATAATTCAAAAGTTTTTCCAAAATCTGTTTTTCAAAGATAGCCACCCACAGGTCAGACTCCTGGAGAATGTGTAGGTAAACTCAGGTAGGAAAGCACAGAACCGTTCCTCCAGCTGGAAGAGCACACAACCCCAGCTGGAAAAGCAGGAGCATGCCATTTTCAGCAGTGCTGAGTGATTGCCGTCTCAAAGCAGAGTAGCATCATAAAGGAGCAATGAGCAAAATACATAATGTATGGAAATTACAGAGCAGTGCCCGCATTTAAGTGGTAACCCTCTCTCTGTTTTCTTATTGGAGTTTTTCTGCCTCCCTAGAATATAAAGTAATTAAGCCCACAGGAATAACTGTACATAAGGCCACAAGAGCTAGCTTCGCCTCAGCTAAAACTGAGAAAAAATTTAGCCACTCTAGCCCTGTCTGTCCTGCTTTGCTGTTCACGAGGAGAGGGAGAACTGCTGAGGCCACATTTAGAAAGGTAAGCATTCCTGATGCTTACTAACAGGCATACTGAAGAAACACTGAGGCTCCAACACATTGTCCACAGAAGCGGTTGTTAGGTTAATAAAGCTTAACTTTTTTTTTCTGTTGTAAAAATTAAAAGACAAGTAATAAGACACACATCTTCTCAACCTGTAGTGTTCAAAGCAGTAAAGTGTGTCTTCCTGACTTCATACAGGTGAGTTCAGTGAGAATAGCTTCCTGCCTCCGAACACTAAGGGAAGGAAGTATACTGGTTGGTTTTGTGTGTCAACTTGACGTAAGCTAGAGTCTTCACAGAGATAGGAGCCTCAGTTGAGAAAATTCCTCCATGAGATTTAGCTCTACAGCATTTTCTTAGTCATCAGTGGGGCCTAGCCCATTGTGGGTAGTGGCATCCCTGGGATGGCAGTCTTGGGTTCTGTGAGAAGGCAGGCAGAGCAATCCTGCACCATCTGCATCAGCTCCTGCTTCCAGGTTCCAGCTCTGCTTGAGTTCCTGTCCTGATTCCTTCGGTGATGAACAGCACTGTGGACGTGTAAGCCAAATAAACTTTTCCTCCCCAATGTGCTTTTCGGTTATGGTGTTTTATCACAGCAATAGAAACCCTAAGACAGAAGGCATAGTTACCTTTGCTGCTTTAACCAGTCGGTCACAGGTTCCACAGTGGTACAAGTTTTCATAGTCAAAAACTTCCTCTTCTACATACATGTTCCAAAGTGCATCTTCTAAACCAGACACGTTTTTGACTGCTACTGTCAGATCCAAGAAGTCTTCCTGAAATATGAAAGAATATTATACTGAAAGAACAAATGATTTCAAGAGGTTTACAACTGAAATAAATACTGGAAATGATCATATATATATATTTTCCAAAACATTGCACACAAGAAGATATACATGCCATGATTACATATTATAAATTCTTATCATTAAATTATTCTTCTTTCTAAGTCAAACTATAATTTAAAGTTCATTAGATAAATAGTTTAAAGGAGAAGAGTTTATGAGTTTAAACTCTTATAGATACAATAAAACCTCATGTTTTGTCAGGAAATAAACTGCAAAAAGATATATACCTGAGTTTGAGTATCACATACACCACACACACACACAAACACACATACACACAATTTATTAACACTTCTTTAAAACGGTAATAGCCACCCCTCAGCATAGTTAAATTTTCTAATATAAACTTCCTCATTTTCTCTTGATAAAGTTGGTTGAAGATATGCTGAGAAAATGACAAGAAAAAAAATATTTGATCCAGATTAAACAGGTATTTCTATGAAAATTAAAAAGGTGGCATTTTGTAAAGAGGAAATCTCTTAAATCTACTGAAACAACATTTGAATTGTATTTCTTCTAGCAATAAATGCTATTATAATTTGGCAAGTTTAAATATTTATACTTCTGTTCATACACGGGGTTATGGAGACTGAAAAATAGCAGTGCACTAGTTAATTCATGGCAAAATTCTTAAGTAACAGAACTAATACTTTATGTTAACAATATGTACATGGAAAGTTACTGTTTATAATTTCTATGTGTTTTTTGTATGTCATGTTTTACCACTGCTTTGTTAATTACTGCATTAGAGTTCAGTCAATCAAAAACACATATGACATCTCAGTTATTTTCAAACTAGGCTGACCAAGACAGCTTCTATTAGCACGGATAAGAAGAGCTAGATACAGCATTTTTTATCCTCAACTCTTCCTTAAGAAATAAAAAAGTTATAGCTCCAAGTAGTATCTTTGTCCAGCATCTGTAAATATGTACGACCCCAGGCTCAAACTCAAGGACCCAAATAAATAAATAAACAAATTTAAAAAAAGGACACAGATATACTTAACACATATATTTATTAATATTATATATTTGCATCTATTTCTAAAATAGCAGCAAACACATTTGGAAGATGATATTAAATTTTCCATTCAAAGAGTCAGCTATAGAAACACCCTACAACTCTTGCCATAAAAAAGGAGATTTTCTTTAAATGTTCAATAATGAAACCACTTGCTAAATAGGACTTGAAAAGCAACAGAGATGATTACACTGACACAGTCAAATTCCCAACCAAACTGAATAGGCAATTTGTATCATCACAAAGAAATTATGATTTTCACTTGAAAATCATAATGCAAACAGGAATGTACCAGCTCTACATGATAGTTTATATACCATATAAATGTAAGCACACACAAACATACTTCCTGAAGGATATTAACAAACTACATAATATTTAATTGGAGATGTGTGTTTAGGTCATGTGTGTGCTGGTGTCTGCAGAGGCCAAAAAATCCTTGAGAGCTGGAGCTGCAGGCAGCTGTGAGCAGCCTTACGTGGGTGCTGGGAATGGAACACCAGTCCTTTGGAAGAGCAGCAGCAAGCCATCTCTCAAGTGCCTAGGGAACTTTTTTTACACTGGCTTCTTTCGTGAAATGTCCATGTGTAAACATCTTCCCAAACATTTTTTAAAAGAAATATCAGAGCACTGAATAAAGGCTATTTCAAGAACTTGCAGGCTGGTGAAAGGACTCAGTATGTAAAGGCTCTACTGCCAAGCCTGACAATCTGAGTTCAACCCCCGGGACCCATATGGTGGAAGAAGAGCACGATAGATGTCATTGTCTGAATTATAATTTACAATGATTTGTTACAAGAGGAAATCCTATATGCTCACCTGCCTCTCACTGATATTCTTACACTCTTTGCAAACAATCTGGTTCACAATGGTGCCATGGTATAGACGATTAATGAGATCATGACCAGAGGTCCCAACTAAAGAAGTTTCCAAAGCGCTGAAGAGAATTCGGTTCAGTTCCTGCACATCATGTTGTCTCATTTCCTGTAAAACAGGTAATAGTTTCTGTTTGGAGACAAAGTCTTTGGGTAGCCAAAGCTGGCCATGAACTTACGATCTTCATGCTTGAGTGCTGGCACTACAGGCACAATGCTCAGCTAAAACAGTTGACTTTAAATATAACTTTTGCTTCAAAAATTTTAAGAATAGATTTTAAAGAATACTATCAAGTAATAGAAACATAAAATCTTTGACTAGATGTACGGATGACTAAACAGGTTAAAACACCACCACCTCTTTTTATTTATATTATAAAATAAAAATACAACTAGGGAGTGTTTAGTGTGTACACACAATTCAACTACTCAGTGACTGTGAAGTTGCCATGTCACAAGAAGGAGAGAAGAAAAGGACAGGACAGGCTCAGACCAGTGTATACACCAGCAGTGTGTGCACAGTGTAAACCTCAATAGATCACAACGGCTGGGGGACAACAGAAACCAGGACTACTGCGAAATGTAAACCAACAAAAATAAGAATAATGTAGTGTTGCTGAGAAAAATTCAAACTGGTTATTGCTTTAATCCATTCTGTGTGGCTGTGTATAAACTAGTCTTTCAGAACAATCTGTACCTACAAGTGTGCTCCATCACTAGGAGGCAGAAAAGGACAGTGAAAGGGAGAACCAGGGGCCAAGTCCAGGGCACCAGGAGGAACTAGGGCCTTGAGCCCACCCCACTGACATAACAGACACAGCAGACACAGCAAAGTGTCTTCCAGCCTTGGCACATTGATGCTACTGTTGCCTTCACCAAGGAACACCAAAAGGAGGCAGAACAACAATTCAGAGTGTAGAGAGGCATACAGGGGGAACAATATAAAAGTAAGTTTATGTGACATGTGGCAGGTAAATAGGATGAAAGCTGAAGTAATGTATGAGGCCGATGATCTTTTTCTTGCCTTTTAGAATATAAGATACCAAGGGATGTAAATCCGTCCTATAGCACTGGTTTGAAAGGGAAGGAAAACTTCAAGGTCTGTTTCTGAGTCCTCATTTATTTGGCAAAGGTACCTCAAAGACCTTCTACCACTTATTTTACTTACAAAAAATAAAAGAATTAAGAAAAGTGTTTCAGGCCTTTAAGAATTATGAAACCAGCAACTATTGGAAGCTCAAATTCAAAAAGAATTTACTGAGATGTGGCATATCCACACAGCAGAGGCTCAATGGGCAGTAAGAAGGAATGAGCTCTGACATTATCTTAAGTGAAATATACCAGTTAGAAAATATCACATAGAATATAACTCTATTCCTATGAAATGTGCAGGAACAGGCACATCTACAAATGGGAAGTAGGTTAAGGACTAACCAAGAGCTAGAGGAAGAGGTGGATGGAAGGGACTGCAAATGCATGGAAGTTCTTTTTAGAGTAGTAAAAAAAAAAAAAAAAACCCTAAAACTGACTATGATGATGGACATCTAAGTCTATGAAAATACTAAAAGCCACTGAGCTGTGCCTTTTGAAAGAGTGGATGTTATGGCATGCAAACCTCAAAGAAGTTGTTATTGTTTTAAAGGGAAAAATCAGTGCCCTTTCAATTCAGTGAATCAGAAGACAGAAGAAAACCAGTCTATATCTGGAATGTAACATGCCTGTTTAGGGAACATGCCATCACCTGCTTCAAAGCCCAAGCCTACCTCTTTATTGCCCCAGGGCATTATCACTGGATTAAGAAGTGCTCCTGGTTAAAGGCTTCAGATGAGAAGTTTTGTAGGAATTACTAAAAATAATGAGACCTTGAATTGTCTGAACTGATATGCTTGCTGACAAGTCATCAGTACTGACAAGACCCTTACTTGTTGCCACAGATGTCTGTTTCTATGTGGTGGAACAGAAAAGTGAGTCATGTCCTACAGCAGATACAGGAAGAAAGGAAAAGTTAGGGGTCAGGGTGGAGAAAATGAAAAGTCAGGAGTCAGAAAGGGAAAATGAAAAGCTAGGGGTCAGGATAGGGATATGAGGAGATCTGACAAGGCACTGATCTGACTGCAGCATATTCTCATTAGAGTACCCAGAGTCAAGCAAGAAGCACATCACAAAGGTGGCAGCATTCTAAAAATCCACTGGTTTATCCATTATTGCTGAAAACTGATGAGTTGATAAACAGTTTGAAACCTAAACAGTAAATCACAACAGTGTAACATGTGATAAAGCTCAACTAAACTACACTGAGTCCTAATTTCAAAAATCAGCTCCTATATTTCTCCCTGTTAACAACATTCTTCCCAATTCCAAGTCATAGCTAGTTGTAACAGCCTATATTCAGTAAGCATCTAAATATACACATGTGCCCCAAGACAAAATTAAGGGTTATCGACAAAATGTAAAGCCAGTTAACCCCTTGCTCCCTGCTGGCAACTTCCTACCTCATCGCTGGTCCACCCAAAGCTGTCAGTGAGGTCTGTGGTGGATGCGGCCTCCTGGTCCAGGAGCAGAAGCTGAGCAAACAAGCGCTGCAACTGCAAAGGTATGACCCGAACCTGGGAGAGAGGAGCATTTCCAGATGAATGCTGACCAGGCCAGTGAGGATTTTTTTTTTTCCAGAGGTGAGGACCAAACCCAGGGCTTTGCACTTGCTAGGCAAGGGCTCTAACACTGAACTAAATCCCCAACCCCGCCAGTGATGATTTCAAAAGCTCTAGACTGGTTTTCTTCGGTCTTCGGGTTCACTCAGTAGAAAGGGCACAAATCCCTCATTATAGAGGCGAACTAATAAAAATTTACTTATTTTAAAATTCTAATTCAGTCCAAAAGGTTTTAGTGGTCTCGAATTTTCTCCCTTGACATAGATCAGATCAATATTAAAAATTCAAATGAGGTGGGCATGGTGGTGCACGCCTGTAATCCCAGCACTCAGGGAAGCAGAGGCAGGTGGATCTCTGTGAGTTCGTAAATCGAGTCCAGGACAGCCAAGGCTACACACAGAAGCTCTGTCTTGAAAAACCAAACCAAAACAAACAAACAACAACAACAAAAACAAAAACAATTCAAATGGGTCCCAACAAACCACAAAAATGATCACAGACATAAAATTCCCATAGTTCCTTTCTTTCCTCTAAAATATCTCCATACACACACATTCCAGGTGAATGTATCCATGTTTCAGGCACACATATCTTAGCCTGGAGCTCTGAAACTTCAAAGCTAGCTTACATCCTGCCTCCCTTTCTCCTAGCACCAGGCTAGAGAGCAGGGCCTCTGAGTCCAGTGTGCGGGCCAACTTTAAAGATTCAAAGGGAGAACAAGCAGTCAGCAACACCTATGACAATTCTATATTGAAAAGATATACTACTACATTAAAAATACATACTACAAAAGCATTGCTCTGCAACAGACTGGAAAGAAACTGACATCACTAACATCATTTCTTGCCACAAAGCTGTTTTTGAAGCACAGGTCTGCATCACAAATCCACCACTGTTCCACAGACCCGAGCCTAAGTGTGTTAAAAAGGCTTCTGCGTGAGATTCCAGCAGGAAGAGCATGATCAGAGCTGTGCTTTAGACAATTCCACCTCAGCAATATACAAACAAGGTATTAATTTCTCCTCAATGTATTTCCAGAAGACTAAATTGAGAAAATAGTGGTTTCCAGGGTTCCACCATGTATTCAGGACCTAGCAAATAAACGCACTAAATAGATGTTCTAGTTGGCCAGCATGGATAGTTTCTAAGCCTCTCCTTTGCCTTTAGAATAAGCACAGCAAAGTGAGGCATATTTATAACAGCAGCCTCTGGAAAAGCCATACTTTTTTGGAGGAAAATGTCTTTGCTAATTAAGTATGAGGCAAATCACTGTCAATAAAGATGATACCTTGTAATAAATAAATGTGCTTTCCATGAACAAGACACTTAATTCTTTCCTTACACAACATTTCCTGGACTAGGGAGATACTGTAGTGGGTAATGTGCTTGCCACACAGGAATGAGCATTGGAGTCTAGGTGCCCAGCACCCAGTTAAATGTGGGGTAGGGGTGATGGCCTGCCTTAATCTCAGCTCTCAGGGTCACCAGGACAATCAGGTTAGGTAAATTAGCTAAAACAGTACAAGACACCCTGCCTCAATGAATAAGAGTGATGGAGGACATCAACCTCTGGCCTCCACATATGTACACACATGTATGTTCACCTGCTACATATGTACACTTTCCCAGAGGCAAACATGCATATGCACAGGCATGTACCCACCACACATACACATGCAAAAAAAACCTCCAAACAATTCCTGAATACTCTAAAAGATCCAACAAATTATAAATTTAGTACCTTTGCATCAGGTTTATCCTTATCCTCTAAAGAACCGAGCTCTTCCGGACCAAGAGAAAATAAAGCTTCTAAACAAAAAAGGAGAGTCACATAATGTAAACGATGACTTCATCTTAGAAAATTGTTTAGGAAGCCAAGACCCCCATTAAGCAGTATCAGCAAATAATTTAGAAATGACTAAGGCAATATTTATCCCCTTCATTTACACATTTTGCATTCTTTTAACATTTTTGTCTACTTGATCTAAGAACAAACATCAAATAATGTACCAGTATGTGTCCATCAAGTGGCACATCAGTATGACAGATCACTGGAATATAAAAATATAAACAGGCAGAGCACTATGGGACATCCTTTAACCCCTGCATTCCTGAAGCAGAGGCAGGAGAATCGAGTTCAAGGACAATTTGATCTATCTAATAAGAGGTTGTCTCAGAAATCTAAAGACTAAGGATGTAGCTCAACGGTAGAGAACCTATCTAACAATGTGCCAAGACTTGGCACTGCCACCTCCTCCCCCCAAACAAAAACTGCTATAAACAGAAAAAATACTGGTTTTCACTACGTTTGGAAAACAGACTCAGAAGTTTAAGGAGTCTCAGAAAATAGAAAATGTCACAGGTCTGTGTTTTCATGTATGAGGCTGCTAACCAACCTTTCAAGCCAAGAACCAGACGGGATGACTTTTACCTTGAGATCCTGTCCCTTATTTTTTGGTGTGCAAATGCCTTTTCTACAATGCAAGTAGTAAGACATGGCAATGATCCTGCACTAGCTTTCAGATTTTTCTTTTTTAAAACATTCCACTGAGGTAAAGTGAGAAATGGAATAATATACCTCTTCAATGAAAAGCACTGATGTCTGAGTGATTACTCTTAACAATGTTCTCTCTCGCTAAGTGCTGGGGCTGGGCAAAAATAAACTAAAAGCTACAGGTTAAAGGACAAAACCACTAAAGGGCTTTTTAGAATAATCTCCCATTATCCTTCACTGCAATGTACTGACAATATAATGGGATTCAATTTAGCCTAACTTTAAAACACTACTCCCCAAAAAGACATAAAGAAAAAAGTCCCTTTTCCTCCATCAGAATCTGTTGGTCCTTACCCTTGGCAAATCTTACCTCACACGATTGTGCCAAACCATGCAGAGGACATAGAGCACACTACAATGTCCAACTATATGCTTGAACAGACAAGAGGAAACTGATCTACAGCTCCCAAGCTCCTGGTATTCTCCACAAACTGCCTCTCCTTCCTTCCTTCCTTCCT